AGCGCGGATCGAAGGAACGCGTGAGCATTGTCTAGAATTTCGAAATACTGTTAGACCTCTGGGGTTCTTTGGGGGTCAGATAAAACCACATGAAATTACAGAGACGTTGTCTGGAATTCAGAAGTGTTTGTAAAGCTCGGGAGTTCTTTGGGTGCTCTGGAGAAAACTTGTATAGACTGAAGCTACTTTACGAGGTGACACATCATATCAGAGAAGTATTCATAACGCATGGTAGATAGTCCTTAGCGAACACCGACCGAAGGGAGGTGTAAGCGTTGTTTCGACGAACTAGGCCAAACGTTGCCCCCAATCAGGTTTTGTTATCAAGGGTAAGAAGACTGGTAGATTCGTCCATTTCGAACGTCTGTATAGCACATGAAAACAAATCAGATTACAGAGTCTCGATGAACTACAGAAATTCTGATAAACATTTCTCACCCGTGAAAAGTTATAGCAACTACTTCTGTAAACTACGATGGAAAATATCCAAGCACTCATCGTAAAAATACGCATCAATCCTGTAGTAATACGATCGGGCCACAACAGAATGAATAATATTCGCGACACGACATCATTCGACTTACAGTCAATGGACTTAGTGAATCGATACGATTCACGTTATTTATGACAAAAATTTCAAATGAAAAAGTGTTCGAAAACACTTATGAGTATTCCATCACTCGCGTGAGCACTTAATGAGTAAAAAAATGTGTGAGCACTCATGCTTGAGTTTATTCACTACAAGACGTCTCTTACAGATAACTCGTTGTCAGGCGCAACAAGTGGCACGACGATTGCCGGAAGTAGTAGTGGTGCATCAGGGTCAACATCAACATTGATGCAAGCCGTATGCTCTGTTGCCGTCGATGCTTATGGTAACAAATATGCTGTAGATAATAATAACCATCGAATACAAATGTTTTGTACAAACAGCACAAATGGAACCACGGTAGCTGGAACAACAACAGGAACATCAGCTACTCAACTTCAATATCCTTGTGGCATTGCATTTGATCTATCTATGAATATGTATGTTGCTGACACTTCCAATCATCGAATCCAGAAGTTTTTGAAACTCTAAACGATATCTCCACCACACGTTTGTTTAACAGACGGTTTGCAATATAATTTCAAAGTCTTCACAGAGAAGGAGAATTGTAATTAAAAAAAAGTTTTTTTTATCTTCTACTAAAATCATCTGAGAATCTAAAGTTTTAGCTCAAATTGAGCGCAGAAAAATGCATGCATTCGTCAAAGATCTAGTATTAAATAACAGAATAAGATTGTTTTTCTGACAAGTTTAAATTTATCTCATGAAAGAGAAAGGGGTGGAAGTTGTATTTCAGCGTGCTTTGAATTATTTTTTATGCCCCATTTGGTAATTTCCGCTAAAAATGGTATTAGTTATTAAACCTACCTAGTATTAGAAACTTACCGATTTTTCACCTTCATTATCGTATCAGATAAACTTTTTATTTCAAAGTTTAATGAAAAAGTCAAAACAGTAAGGCTTCTAAACTCAGTTAATATATCTTATACTCTTGTGATTACAGTTTTGATATTTTTAGAAAAAGCAACGCACTTTTTTGTGTTGTCTAAATACACAGAAAAATTTTTCTTGGAAATAGTAAGGTCTGAAATTTAAATAACTTTGCATAATTATCAAACTCTCGCATACCGTTAATTTGACTTAGGCTTTTTCTTCAAGAAAAAATAATGCTCTTAATGTCTTTAATTTATATAGATCTTCGCTAAATATATTTATAAATTTTGATAAAGTATGGTTTAAAAAACAAATTTGCTCTAATCCCAATAACATCCCAATAACCACATATTGTCAACATTCTACTATCATGAACTGATCCAAGAAAACATGACTTAAAATAAATTAATCGACGGTCGGTAGATATTACAATAATAGACGCTAAGCAATGATGCTTCATCTTTCCGCTATAATACATCCGTTGATGATTTTCTATAGCAAAAACAAGAACAAGTCTAGTTTTCTACAAACAAATACTGTCGCAATCATAGAGAAAGACAGACTATGAATAGGAAATCTACAGAACAACTTTTCCCGATTTTTGTAAATAGTTGCGAGGAACATTAAACTACACAATTAAAAAAACTCACGCTTTGTAGATGTTAGCAGAAGTTCTTCATTTATCCCAGACAGAGCTGAAATGAGTTGTTTGGAAATACGTAAAGCTGACTTCTTGATTTATTTGTATAGAACTCAAAATGAAATCTTCAAATTTTTAGTACGCTATTGGGACATTTGACTTTCAAAGAACTCAGAGCCATTAACATCAGAACATCAGAACTCATTTTTCTAAGAACTTCGTTTTTTGTCTCTCATCTTCCAGCTTCATATTATCGAAGCACTAAAACGATCATCTTTTGCCCTCTTATCGCATGTTTTACCCAGTATTTTCTTCGGGAACATGATGCGGTAAATTATGGAGCAATTTACTTCACAATTACACTGCAATTACTCTAAACTATGGCTACACATCTACATAAAAGCTTGCATTTCTGTCAGTATCATTATTCATTAGCAAAATCGCGTCATCATACTGAACTAATCATAAACTGATAGATTAAGTCTTTTCAGAATAAAATTTTAATCTCATACGTCAGCGCAGCTAAACTCAAGTATTGCGACAGAAACGGAAAGAAAGTTTTTAAAAGCACATACGAGGTCGGGTAATTTTATGTCGGGTTCCGTCTATGCATCCAACATATCTTCCAAGAATTGGGTGAAATACAACCAAATTTTGCCATTCATTAGGAGTCGGCCACCTTATCATTGACCGTATTGTTTTAATTAAAATAGGGAGAGAAAACTTAATGTTATAGGATATTTTCATTGATGATACACGAAACATTATGCTCAAAACAGCATTGCCAGGATATTTTCGAAGAAAAATTAATAGTATCAGTAAAATATTCGCGTTTAATCTTGGAGAGTGAACCTTTTGTTTAAAAAATAATAGTTTTCGAATGGGCTGACGTAGAAAATCATGATACAAATCGCAGAATGCTTCACGTGTAATGCCTGTTAAATCACAGAATCGACCAGGGGTTAGTGCTAATTCCGCGTATAAGTCGCTTAAATTTAGCCGTTCATAATGATCATATTCCATCGTTAAGTGGTAGATTGTTAATCGACGTAAAGACGGGATGATTTGTGTTAATTGAAACAATTGAGATATTAACATAATCAGTTCACGAAAGTTTAATAATTGAAAATCTCTTGTTAGGCGGATAAGAGTAAAAAATATAAAAGTAACAACATTTGAAGATAATTGAAAAAATTCCAGTTGTCGTCTCATCCTTCTCTTTTGTAATTGATCCATGAGTATGTAGATAAATTTTGAATTATGTTAGACAGTGATGTCAACTGAATCTCAGATTAGAAAGTAGGAAAACTTTTCTTTACGTTCTTGTGTATAATATAGGTTGTTTACTTCCCATATGCTATATACCGTGTGTTTTACACAAAAGAAAAGGAGAATAACCGTTATGATTTGAACGAAAAGGAGTAAGGGCACTTGTTCCTTTTTTTGTCAAACTACACACGTCTTCATCTATCACTCGCTACAAACATTTGTTTACTTACACATAATAATGCAAAATTCATCGGCTAAAAAATCACATTCGTATCGAAAAGTTGATGATATTGAACGAGAACTAATACTTGGTTTAACCGAAACATTCAAAAATTTAGCACCAGCAATTGCGAATTATATTCGTCAGTCTGGCACTAAATATGGAGAACTTGGCTTCTATTACCAAGGATTAGCCTATGCTTCTGCTCGGAAACGAATTTATGACATACTGAAAAATGCTGCAAAAGTTATACATTTCCAAAATAAACATTTTTCTGAAGTTTCGAAAACGTTTTTTTTGTCGTTTGTAGTGTTGCTGTTGAACGTGTTCAAGATCCCTTATGTTTTCAAGCACAAGCAACAGATAAATTCGATTCTGTTGCCTCTTCAGATCGTATAGAAATTGAGGACGATGAATGTAATCAAGTGGTTAAAGAAATGCTTTTAAAATATGTTAGAGTGAGTATCCATTATCTGTGATAGCGACATTTCTAATCCCTTGTAAATTTTGACATAAATCAGTGAATATTGCTTTAACTTAATTCGAAAACCGTGATCTTACCTTACTAAGATTAGAAAGTGTCTAACAGCAACTTACATATGGACAGCGGTTAATAAATGGAGCGGTTTAAATTCCATGTTTTTCGAAAATATGAGCTAAATTTTGTCTCACATAAAAGGGTTTCTAAGAATAATCTTCTGTACTGAAGTGGAAAAATGCCTATTAACATAAAAGAATTTTTGTATAAAATAACATTTAGCCTTCCATCCGTCTACCTATTGTTCTTTTGTTAAGAAATTAATCAGAAACTTTTTTTGCGTAATATTCAAGAAAACTTTGAACAGGCGAAATCGATTGAAGATTATTGATGTACTAATCGCATACATCATTTTCAACTTTACAGACACAAGAATTCAAGTACAATAAAATTCTTTTAGCAATCGATATGCAGTCAAAGTTGGAACATATATGTAAACAACATTTTTTGAGACCGTCTTAAAAAATAATCGTCTCAGCGCCCCTCATTACATTTGACTACACATTATGAGGCTATAATCTCATTTTTCCGAAGGGGTTAGATGCAGTTTTTGAAAAAAAATGCTCGTACGCCCATTTCTTCGCTATATTCAGCAACAATATCGCTTGTATAGTGGTTTAGAAGTGGTTTTTTAATTTTTTAAGCAAGGAGACCATTGTAAAAACGAAACAACACAACAATCACAATCAACAATTAACATCTCAACATCCGATCCTTCACTTGTCGATACTACATTACCAGGAAACAACGACTCAACACTATCCGCTGTCACATCAACGGCAATAGTTACGTCAAATCAACCTAATTCACTTAGTACAGTCATAGATTCAAGCCCAATTGTTTCAACAGCTCAAAACGATAAACCTCTTAATTCTTCACCGTCACACATTGTTTCTAATGCTGTTTTTACACCGCCTCGACCACCCGCATCATTTTTAAAACCTTTTCGACAAATAAAAATGTCTTAACAAATTCTCAAGTTAGCTTTGATGACAATGACGAAGAAGAAGAGATCTTGCTAACAGTTCCAACGAAAAGAGAACGTCCAATAAGTACGTTCGATGCGAGTGGAATGAGCGACAACGATGATGATAACATTTTAGTTATAAAACGAGTACTGCTCGTTACCCAAACAACCAATACATTAACAAATTTCAATAAACTAATTGCAAGATTCGACAAATGCGCTGACCGATTTCTCGAAGAAAACGGTTTTGATAAATAATCATTATCGTTTTAAAAATTTAATGCCCGTAACCATTTATTTGAATATCTGGAGAATGAAATGTGGTTAGAGAGTTCGAATTTTCACCGTTCAAAAGAAGAGACTTTGGAACAGAACACATTTTATTAACAAATATTAATCCGAAAATATTTTTCTAAAGTAGGATTTTGAGGAGATCGTTGGAGAATCAACTCATAGTTCAAAAACTTCCAGTACGAATACTTTCATTTTTCTTCATGGACAGATAACCCAAAGTATTCTCTACAAAATGGAAGTCAAGCTAGTCTTGATTTCCAGTGATTCGGGAGTGGTATCCGATTTTTTTTGGGCCTCAGAATCGGTACTAAGTGACTTCAGAATGTTTTTCAAAGTTTTGTCCCTTTAACATGATTATACTATTGAAAAAATTGAAAAAGCATTTTTTGACAAACGTTTTCTGGAAATCCTCTGAAAAAGTCAATGGATTTTGTAAATTCGCTTTTGTGAAGTTCTTATCGGACTACCTGAAGTCACTTAGTACCGATTCTGAGGCCCAAAAAAATCGGATACCACTCCCGAATCACTGGAAATCAAGACTAGCTTGACTTCCATTTTGTAGAGAATACTTTGGGTTATCTGTCCATGAAGAAAAATGAAAGTATT